ATTGAAGCTTTAGATTTTATGTTTCCTCGAGTTTCATTGTGATTTCTGCTTGTTCTAATTTATCTAATAATTTTCGAAAATCTAAATCTGGTTCTCGAATTGAGGAAGGATGAGATGCTCTCTTTTTTATAGCTATTTTCCTTAATTGAGGTGTTAAGGTCATCATTAAATTTCTGTCTTTTTTGTGTTTTTGTAGTCATGTGTATTAAGTGAATATGCTTTTCGAACTATTGTTTCGATTTGTACTGCTAATTGTTTAATTTTTTCATTTGGTAATCTGCGGATTTCGTTGCATAAAACTCTTTGATGTTGTTTGTTTCTTTCAGAATCAAACATTTTTGAGACTTCTTGTGTGAATCTTTTCCAGTCTGATTTTATTTCTATGGGTAATACTGAAAACCGTTTTTGAGCTGCGCCATCTAGGGTTGTTTGTATTAATGCTGCGCGTCTATGTATCCAATTTTGATGTAGTGGCGTATTAATTGTTTCGGGTCCTATATTTAAAATTAAATTTGCTGTTACTGCATTTAGATAATCTTCTACAGAATATTCAGGGTCTGTTCCTGTGAATACCATTAATGGTTTATTCGATGTTATTGATGATCCACCCATGAGGTATGGATTCATAGTCATCTGTAGTGATTCTGCGGCATTTGGCATTTGTGAAAAATTTGAGAGGTGATTTTTTGTGATTTCATGATGCTGAAGGTGATATGGAAGCGGTATTTCATTTTGCATTTGTGTCGGTTGATAAGAATGCATTAACATTGGGTTTTGTGGTTGTATTGGTTGATAGATTGTGTGTTAAATGGGTTTTGTATATTCATTTGTTGTGGATTTTGTATATCTGTTGGATTTTGTGGGTAAATTTTCATATTTTGAGATGGTTGAGATTGTCGCGGTCTCTGTGTGCGATATTCTTTAGTATATGGTGCAAAAACATCTGGTTGATGATAATCATCGTCATCAGATGATAAATAGTTTGTGTTATATGGTGTATGTTGTTTATTTTTATTCTGTTGAAAAAATGGGTAATTTTCACTATAATCCTGTGTAGGTTGTGGATCATCTGGAAAGCTTACTGAATTGGTTGATGTTTTTGGGAGATTCCAATAATGGGAACATACGTGATTTAATTTTTGTGTATTTTTTCGGGGAGTTTGATTTGTTTTTGGTTGGTGAGCATAATTATAATTGTGTTCTGCAAAAGTGTTTCTTGTGAACGGTTTTCGTGTTTTTGACGGTATTGTCATTGGTCTATACGTTTGATAGTCCATATGTGATTATTTTGGAGCAACCGAAGGTTTAACGGTTGATTTTTAGGTTACCTGTGTTAGTGATGTATTTTTTTTTGGTGTTGTCAGATTGGGGTGTATTGGTGAAATATTTTGTTGTGTAGTTGTTGCTGTTGTTTGGACGATTTCTTCATTTATGAAGTGTGATGGTGTTTGACTATCTTGTTGTGTAAGATTTCTGGTTCCATTGAGATTTTCATTATGTATGACTGTTGAATTTAAGCGGTTATTTCGTGTATCAGGTAAAAATGTATTATAATTTAATGGTGTTGCGTCAATGGTTAATGGTATTACTAATACATAATCTCTGTGGAAAGATATTGTACTTATTGCTTGACTCGAGATATCTTGTGGAATATTCAGAAATGCTGGATGAGACCAGTCAGGGTCCCAAACGTAATCTGATTGTTCTGAAAGAACAGTGTCATCATTGGTATTTTGAGGTCTGAAATTTTTTCTTGCTTGTGAAATTAAAACTAAATTGTGGGTGAATTAATCTATTATAAACCATGCTAAAATCTTTTGTAAATCATGTTTAGTGTTTTGTGAAACATCTTCTTCAGTAAAATTTTTGCAAATTATATGTAGAAATGTTGAAAATACTGTGATTTCAGTTCTTACTTTTGTATGTTTGGATGTTTCGGTTGGTGATATACTTTGAACTTCTGTTTTTTCTAATATAGATATATAACTAAATATAACTGCAAAAACTTCGGTAGTGAATATGGAGTTTGCTCTTTGTGAATTATGATATTGTATGCTTTTGATATTTTCTATCAGTACTTTTGAAAATTCTAATTCAATATCGTCTGTTTGAATTACATATTTACGATGGGCTGTATTTGGTGTGCTAAATTCTATGGTGTAGATTCCGTATTGTTGTGTTAGATTTTATATACCTTTCAAATAATGTTCAATAATTTGTCTTTTGATTTTTACATCTGGGAATTCTGCTTTGCATGGACTGATTCCTGGTTCAAACAAATTTACGAGTAAGCTCTTACAAAATCGTGTTTGTCCTCGAGTGAATCTATAAGAAAGGGAAAAACTGCTTCTTCATCTGGACGTTTGTCACTTTGAGTGTGGCTCATTTTTTTGTTTGATGACTGTTAATATATAAATATCACTGTGTCTAATTGGTTGATTCCAATTATACAGGTGTACTGGTTTGTGTTTATATTGCTTTTTTATTCTTCTTTTTCCTCTTTTTGATGAATTTGAAGTTGTTTCTGAGTCGGAAAAATATAATTGATCATGAAAGGGACAATTTTTATCTATTGATTTTTTAAATTTGTATAGTTCCTCTAAACTGTTGGCTTCTGATTCAGAAAATGCGTTTCTATTTTTTGAAAATCTTTTTCGTGTGATTTGTCTTTGTTTGTTTATAATTTTTCTTTTTATTGTTTGTCGTTTTGTTCGAAGGTATCCAACTGTTTGTGTATGTGGAATGATTGCAAGATCGTATTTGTAGTTATCTAGTTCACAATTGAGTAAAACGATTGCTTGTTTATTTCCTAAATTTTTGAGGGATGCAAGAAGTTGTTAGTTATTTTTATTTTCCTAGACTGTTAGTCCTTACGATTTTTTGGTAAGCTTAACCTGGGTCTTTTTCTTCAGAGTTGGAGAGAAAAGTATATCGATTCCGGAGAATGATTTTCTACTTTCTCGTGGCTAATCTAAGTTAAGGTGTTAACTTACTTAATCTTACTTAGGGGTAGTGATTGTGTTCAAGGGTTGGAGAATAGTAAATTGATCCACAAGGTTCAGGTATAATTAGAACGCAAGTAGTTCGTTAGATACTATTTTAAACTTACTAAGTCTAAGATCTATCCTGGGTCTGTTAAGAGGAGGGTTTAAGTGAAGGATGAATAACCGAAGTTCTTCACTGTTTAACTTAATTTGAATGGTTAGTTTTATTAAAAAATTTCTATTAGTCCTGGGTCTTTTGGAAAGGTTGGATAGTGAATCGACGTTTGAGGTCGTTAGACACTTGATAAATGGGTGGGGAGACCAAAATTGTTCTTTCTGATCCAAGGATAGGCCTTGATGATCAGATTTTAAAATTAGTGAGATAGAAAATTTATAAAAATCCAAGGATAAGCCTTGATGATCTGATTTTTAAAATTAAGTGAATTTAAATTTAAAATGGTTTAAATTTATTTAATAAAAAGACTTAGTTTTTTAATGATGTTAGTGAGCTTATGGTTGCTGTTATAATTAGGCGATGAAGCTGGTACAACAAGATGGTTTCTTTTTACTAACTATTTATTGTCATGCTACTAATTTTTATTTTTGTTTTCAATAAATATTTTTCAAAATGTTTTTTATATAATACTGCAGAAATTAGGAAAACGATCTGAGATCTTTTTATCAATCATTATTGTACATTAATAATTTTGCTTAGCGCCTGAAATGATCATGAAGATTTACTTCAAAATTTTATGTTTGCAAATGAAAATCTAAATTCATTGCTAATAAGATTCTAAATATAAAAGTTTGTGTTGGCTTTTGCCGTACAACCATAGAACTAAATGGTAAGTTTCTACGTAGTCGTATATCGTCTCTTGTCCGAGGTCTTCTTCCAATACCGGGTAGTTCTAGTATTGTTCGGAATATCGGCTCTGATCTATTGAGTCGTAGAGACATTTCAATTAAGTTATTATCGTGTAACATTTTGAAAATATTTTGTCTAATTTCTAATCTATATTTGGTTAAATCTAAACTATTAAGGTCTTATTCGAGACTTATGGTCGCACCAGATGAGTTATGACCGATGTGGTTAACTCATAGAGTAATTTCGGATAGGGTACACCGTCTGCTCGTCACGCTATCTTATTTTCGGCCGGATAGATTCGTGCAACTTCTTAGTCTAATACCGATCCTTATCTTACTCTTATATCTACTAGTCTCAGGGTGTTTAACTAGTCTCTGCTAGGCTAAATAGATCTAGAGTATACTGGCTCATTGCAACTGCTGAAGTTCTCTTGGAGAGGCAACTAATTTCTAAGTTAAATTCAAATCTCTCTGGTGCTGAATTACAAGTAATTTCAGCACTTACAAATAAGTGGGTTGTTAGTTAGATGGATTATGATTGATAAATATTAAATTTTTTACAGTGGTAAAATATCCAATTTATCCAATTAAAAAATGTAGTTTAGATCAGGTTCCATTTGTCTTTGGAACCCACTGACAAAAAAAGAACTTGTCGGCATTTTGTGTAAGGATCGCTTGGGTGTGGAATCTACTGAAAAAAAAAACACGCAAACTATTTGTCCGTGGAATCCAGACGCGTGAAAGCACAAATATGCGCTGAGTTATAAGCCGAAGTTATAAACACGCTGAAATTAAACGGAAAAAAAATTCGTCAAAAAGACGTAAAAATGGTAAGATTAAAAACAAATAACAAAACGTTAGTTTCGTGTCCAATCATAGGAGACAGAATTTGAACCTCGTGAACTACCTCTCCCTTATGTCAGAATAAGGGGAGACAGATCATCAATTTGTTATCAGTAAAAAAAAATTGGCCAATTAGATATAAGTATAGTAAATGAAGAATATCCACACTCATGGTTTGTAATGAAGAATATCCACCCATCTCTACTAATAACAGAATCAGCTGTAATTAACCTAAGAGATTAGTCAACCCAGTTAACTCCAGTTACAGAAATGGTAGGGGGATATTTGAAGAGATGATTTCTTTTTCAGCTTCTCGCGACTGGCACAGTTAAAGTGCAAAACAGATTGAAGCTGATGGCGATGGTGGGAAAGAATAGTCTTAGCAGTGGTAGAAGTAACAAGAAGGTGGTGGGGGTGAGAGTGTGTGGGTAGGTGGTGCAGTTGGAGAAGGATGTGGCCCAGGGGTGGGGCCTCATCGCGGACATGTACGAGAACAACACACACACGGGCGAGATTGAGGTGAGTATCACGTGACCATACATGTGCTATGAGTTATAAATAAACAGGGAGATCTTGGTAATATCGTTTCCTTGTCTTCTTTCCTCATTCAGCCCTCATGTACTAACTAACACACAGCTCTAGAACGAATAGCCCCCCCCCCCCCTAAAACCATGACATAACTCAGCAGTTATGCATTTGCAATTAAATCGCGTCCAAGATAATTCGGCCAGAGACAATTCGGTCGATATGAAATTCATTAAAACAGGCAAAAAATACAGACAATTCAGCCACGAAAAATTCAGCCAAAATGACAAAAATTAGAATCTCTTCTTGAAATTTTTATTAGTTCCCGCTGTAGTCGTGCCATTGAGTTGCGAGCATGTCAACAGAGTATAGGATATATACGAAATTGTTACCGGCGACCTTAAGCCGAGATGAAATCCAATTCCAATTTTTTTAATCTAATTCTTTTGAAAAACTGGCTGATTTGTCTGCGACTAATTTGTCTGTGTATTTTGGCTGAATTATCTGAATTTCAAATATGATGAATTGTCAATTCGGAAAACGTTTGTGGTGCTTTAAAAAATGAATAAATTGTATACCGCTTATTCCCTTCTTCTAGAACGTTTCTTTCTCAAAAAACACTCTAATTATTTTCCAAATCTGCAAACAAATCGAAGTATCCGTTTCGAGATTTTCAAACAATCCAGTAACTGAATTATTCTGATAAAAAACTTTGCACTAACATCAGCTGATGTTTCGTTCTGCCCGGCAAATAACTTTTGCACATAAAACTATACCGGTAATTGAATTATACGGATATGAAAATGATACCGACATTTGAATCATACGGATAAAATAATAGCGCCTAGATGAGATGACCTTCGGCATAATTTGACCTTTCGTTCAGGACATTGTGGAATTGACAGAGATTACTGACAGGGATGTGTTTGACCGTCTGGTGGAATGGACTACCCGGTACAAAGACAGAGCCTACTCTCTCTCAGACGAGGATAGATACAACAGAGAGAAGAGACAACTGATTTACCAGCCGGAGGACAAACGATGGCTGCCCAAGGGTAGCGGTAGTCAATTCTCCTTTTTGAACGTCACCCTAGATAATGACTTGCCTCAGCTAATACAGTGCTCATTTAAAGTATCCGGACAAAACGAATAAAACTTGAAAACTAAAACGTGTTTTTCTCAAATTAGGTTGATTTTAAACAAAGATGAAAATGACCAATCTTGCTTACAATTTTATTACAACCAATATGGCGAACTTTTTTTTGCAAAATTCCGACCTAAAATTTTACCCCAAACCTATTTGTTCAATTTCTGATCAAACTCTTTAACTGCAATTCTCGTATGTAGCCCAACAAATTTTAAGAAGGCTGTAATCTCCAAAAATGGATCCAAAAGGTTTTAAAACGTTTTTATTAAAGAAATTAGTGTTTTATATAGTAAAAATAATAATAACCTTTTTCGATATCAAACGAAAATTAATTTGTGTATACAAACTGAGAAAAATATACTCTTCTTAAAATATGTTGAGCTACATAAGAGGCTTGCAGTATTATAGTTTTTTCAGTAAGTGAACTAATATGTTTGAGGTACTTTTTGATTGACTAAAAAAAGCCCAGAAAGGCCCATGTAAAAAGTATTATTAATGTTTGACCGTTTAACCTCTGAGCTATACTGATCGTTGACCTTTACATGGTCTGAGCTTTACTTGATCGTTGATTATTAATTTATATACACCTGCCAAAAGCGCAACGGCTTTTGGTAGACTTGGAATTTGTTCACTATCTTTTGTGATATGCAACAAATCAACAGAAAACTAATTCAATCTTTTTAACCTCTTTTACTTTAGTTAGCTATCACCGTCTTTTATTTAGTCTTAAATAAAAGCCTACAATTTATTGTAGGAATCTTACCCAACCTTAGTCTTAGTTTAAGTTACCCACTCTTAATCAACCACGAGTGTTATCCTAACTTTTTAACATGGCGCAGTCAAACGAATCGAACCTACGAGGACTAGAGTTTTTTTGGAACAACTCATCAAATGAAAATCAACACGACTGGGAAAGGTGCAATTCTTTTGAAAGCCATCGAGCATAAAATCTTTGCATTTTGAGAGCAAAAATATCACTTTCTTACTTTTTGAACGGTTTGAGATGTTTCGTAAACTGTCTGGTCAAGTTAATTGAAGAAGAGGTTAGAGCTTTTGGCCCTTCTACAGTTTCCCCCAACAGATATGCACCATGTTTGCAGTGTAATGAATAATTTTACAAGGCTTATTTTCAGGAAAACTGTTTATGTAATTAAATTATGATCCGCGTAACATCTTGCATGACAATTGGACCAGGTGACCCAACTTAGTACAGTGCTGGTTTAATTTATACTTACAAAACGACGAAAGTTTGAAATTTCAAATGCGTTTTTCTCAAGCTAAGTTAATTTAGACAAAAAATGAACAGAACAAAGTTTGCTAAGAATTTCACCAAAATAGCTTAAATTATTATGACTAAATATTTTTCGTTATTCCCAATCAAAAATTTCACCCTTAAAATGGGTCAATTTGACTATTTTTATTTAATCAAGAATTGTCTTGAAACTCACCCAGTTAACTGATGAGAAAATTATATCAAACTTCCCATACACTATAAAACAAGGTTGTAGAAAGGTCAAATATCTTCAATTGTGCTCAAAACTTTTGAAAATTGTTTTTAAGCGAAAGTTTTAATTTTTATTTAGTAGAAATGACCTTTTTGGCTATCAGCCAGAACATTGTTTTCTAAAAAACAGTTGGGCTGAGTAGAAGCCTCCTATTGATATAACTTTCTCATTAATTAACTCGGTAGTTTAGCGTATATTGTGATTATTTGATGAAAGCCAAAATGACTAAATAAGATTTTTTGGTTCTGAAAACTTTTTGATGAAACTGAGCTAAAATGACTCATTGAAATTTTTTTTGATTCAGAGTTTTGAAACACTTTTTGGTGAAACTCCAAGCAATTTTTTTTTTTACTTTTTGTCCAATCGTCACCCAATTTAAGTTTAAATTTTACAATCATGCTTGTTACTGTTATTTTAAATCATTTTTTTCCGTATGAAATTATAATGGAAAATTAAGATCTTAGTTTAGAATCTGAGTTTTAAAAACAAATTCGATAATTTATTGTAAGAATGAATTGGGTTGATGAATACCTCAGGGTGAAACTACGACACTTACTTCAATTTAAAAACTTGGTTACTTAACATATAAAAAGTTTTTTTTTCTAGTTTGAAAGTTGTCTAATTGATTTTTAAAAAATAATAGTTAAAAATTTCCAAAAATAAATTGTAAAAGACTCAAACGCAGCATAGTCAAAAACAAACAGTCAAAAATTCAAACGGAGAAAACTGACAAAAATTTCTCAAAATGCACGACAGCAAGGTTTGTTTTCAAACAGTTCAGTTTTATATAAAGTTCTAAAGTAAACTCTATAATTTTTTTCATTGGAATCTGCTGTTTTTTCTCACTTTCCCTCTCATTTCAAAAATTTCTACTTTCTTAGTTTTTGATGTCTTAATTTGACTAACTGTTTGGTGTTTCCATGTACAGCGGCCATCAAATAAACTTTAAGACAAACGTACGAAAAAGTCCCAGTTGCAACACCTCAAACTTAATTGAATTAATTGTAGATTGATGATCATAGATACTTTCTCAATAAAAAAGGGAATTTAAAATCATCACACACAAAACTGTAACTTCTGACTGTGCATTGTTCAATTATCACTAAATTTGTTCGATTATCACTAAATTTCGAATCGTAACAAAAAAAAATTTCACTTTAAAACTTTTTTTTGTGCCAAGTCAGGCGCTTCCTCGACGTTCTTTTTATGTTAAGCTAAATAATAAAATTGACCCGGTTTTGGTGCAAACATGAAAGGACTTTTCTCATTAGCGAAAAAAGGGGATATGAAAGGGGACTTTAGGCATCTTTTGTGGAAAAATTGATATTGTTTCTTTTTATTGTTTCATTCACTGATATATTTTTTCCTCTAAATTCTAAATTAAAAAGAAATGCATCCGAAATTGAAGGGGATACGTTTCCTACACAAAATGTAAATGAGGTGATAAAAACAGGGGTCTTACACATGCGTTCAAACAGTTTAAAAAAAGGCTTGGCAATCCAGTTTAAATAAATAAAATCCAGCGACATTTTATCGAATCCACGTCGACGGCCAAAACGCGTTTGTCTCCGGAATCCACTGACAAAAAAGAGCTTGTCTGCATTTTGTGTAAGCATCGCTTGTATGTGGAATCTACTGAAAAAACTTTCTAAATCACGCAAAATATTTGTCCGTTGAATCCAGACGCGTGTTCAAAACCAGATTGAACTATAAAACCGAGTTTGGCGTCGTAATGAATGAACAAGTATATACATATCATGTGAACACGCTGAAATTAATCGGAAAAAAATTGTCAAAAAAATTTTTAAAAAAAGAAGATTAAAAATTAAATAACAAAACGTTAGTTTCGTTTCCAATTATAGGAATCAGAGTTTGAACCACGTGAACTATCTCTCACTTATGTCAGAATAAGGGGAGATAGATCATCAATTAGTTATCTGTAAAAAAATTTGGCAAATTAGATGTAAGTAAAGTAAATGCCTTACTGCCTAAATTTGTCATTTATTTTGGCAAGGATTAATAACAAGAAAGTGAGAGAGAAGAAAAACTTTATGATTTGCTTCAGTTTTTGCAGTTACAAAACTGATTGTGAATGTAACAAGAGCACAAAATCATTAAATATGAGATCAATAACAAGCAAGTTTCAGCAGTCACTGAGCATAATAAGGCTCTCCCTTATTAATTATTTGGGTATCGGAAAAAAATGTTAGCTGAGCATATCTTCTATTTTACATTAATTTATAAGTCGGCATACAGGTTTTCTGTGATAATTTTGTGAATTAGAATGCTGAATTTTTGTTGTTGTAAAAAGAAATGATCTACAAAAAAATTCGGTTTTAGGATTAGGAAATCCAGGTATTAGAAGCGAGCCGGTGTGATAGTTATGGTGGAAGCTAGAATTCGGAAATCGTAATTTCTAAAAAAAAATGTAGCTCGGTTTTGGCGTACCTTAGGAAAACATTGCGTTAAACTGTGCTTGATTATATCTCAAGCTGAAGGAAGTCTTTGTTTTCCTCACAAATGGCAAAAAAAATTATAGCTGCTATTTGGTCTATTCAGAGGGGTAGGGGTTGTTGTCATGAGCCCGCAGCTCTCTTTCTAATTTTCAAACATTTTTTTTAAAGTATAGCTGCCATCTTGGAGCTTCATTTTCTTTTCATTTTTTCCGCGATATTATCTATACCACACTCATGGGTTTTAATGAAGAATATCCAACCATCTCTACTAATAACATAATCAACTGTAATTAACTTAGGAGATTAGTCAACCCAGTTAACTCCAGTTACAGAAATGGTAGGGGGATATTTGAAGAGATGATTTCTTTTTCAGCTTCTCGCGACTGGCATAGTTTAAGTGCAAAACAGATTGAAGCTGATGGCGATGGTGGGAAAAAGTGGTATTAGCAGTGGTAGAAGTAACAAGAAGGTGGTGGGGGTGAGAGTGTGTGGGGAGGTGGTGCAGTTGGAGAAGGATGTGGCCCAGAGGTGGGGACTCATCGCGGACATGTACGAGAACAACACACACACGGGCGAGATTGAGGCGAGTGTCACGTGATCATACATGTGCTATAAGTTATAAATAAACAGGGAGATCTTGGTAATATCGTTTCCTAGTCTTCTTTCCTCATTCAGCCCTCATGAACTAACACACAGCAGCTCTAGAACGAATACCAACACACCCCCCCCCCCCCCCCCGAAAAAAAACATGAAATAACGTTTCCTAGTCTTCTTTCCTCATTCAGCCCTCATGAACTAACACACAGCAGCTCTAGAACGAATACCAACACCCCCCCCCCCCCCGAAAAAAAACATGAAATAACTCAGCAGTTATGCATCTGCAATTAAATTTTTATTAGTGACCGCTGTAGTCGTGCCATTGAGTTGCGAGCTTGTCAACAGAGAATAGGATATACACGAAATTATTACCGGCGACCTTAAGCCGAGATGAAATCCAATTCCAATTTTTTTAATCTAACCCTTTTGAAAAACTGGCTGATTTGTCTGCGACTAATTTGTCTTTGTATTTTTGGCTGAATTATCTGAATTTCAAATTGGATGAGTTGTCTTTGGCCTGATCGTTAATGCGACAATTTAATAGTAAATCTAGAAAAGAAACAATCATTTTTTGATGCTAGGATTAAAATGATAGGGTATACTTTGGTAAACATGGTATACAGTGGTAACAATTCGGAAAACGTTTATGGTACTTTAAAAAATGAATAAATTGTATATAGCTTATTCCACTCTTCTAGAACGTTTCTTACTCAAAAAATACTCTAAGTGTTTTCCGAATATGCAAACAAATCGAAGTATCCGTTTCGAGATTTTCAAACAATCCAGTAACTGAATAAATCTGATAAAAAAATTTTGCACTAACATCAGCTGATGTTTCGTTCTGCCCGGCAAATAAATTTTGCACATAAAACTATATCGGCAATTGAATTATACGGATATGAAAATGATACCGACATTTGAATCATACGGATAAAATAATAGCGCCTAGATGAGATGACCTTCGGCATAATTTGACCTTTCTTTCAGGACATTGTGGAATTGACAGATATTACTGACAGGGATGTGTTTGACCGTCTGGTGGAATGGACTACCCGGTACAAAGACAGAGCCTACTCTCTCTCAGACGAGGATAGATACAACAGAGAGAAGAGACAACTGATTTACCAGCCGGAGGACAAACGATGGCTGCCCAAGGGTAGCGGTAGTCAATTCTTCTTTTTGAACGTCACCCTAGATAATGACTTGCCTCAGCTAATACAGTGCTCATTTCGGACAAAACATTCGGACAAAACGAATAAAACTTGAAAACTGAAACGTGTTTTTCTCAAATTAGGTTGATTTTAAACAAAGATGAAAATGACCAATCTTGCTTACAATTTTATTACAACTAATATGGCGAAATTTTTTTTGCAAAATTCCGACCTTAAATTTTTCCCCCAACCTATTTGTTCAATTTCTGATCAAACACTTTAACTGCAATCCTCTTATATAGCCCAAAAAATTTTAAGAAGGCTGTAATCTCCAAAAATGGATCCAAAAGGTTTTAAAACGTTTTTATTAAAGAAATTAGTGTTTTATATAGTAAAAATAATAATAACCTTTTTAGATATCAAACGAAAATAAATTTGTGTACACAAACTGAGAAAAATATACTCTTCTTAAAATATGTTGAGCTACATAAGAGGCTTGCAGTATTATAGTTTTTTCAGTAAGTGAACTAATATGTTTGATGTACTTTTTGATTGATTAAAAAAAGCCAGAAAGGGCCAGAAAGACCCAATTTTGCAAAACAAATTGCACTATTATACTTAAGTTAAAAAGTTGTAAGCAAGATTAGTCTTCATCATTTTTTGTCTATAATCAACCCAGTTTGAGAGAAACACGTTTTAATTTTCGTTTTGTCCGGGTAATTTAGATGATCACAATATCGGAGGTCAACTTTTAGAAATAAAAGTTAGATAAAAAGCGTGCAAATCGCAGTTTTCGATAGCATCAGGAAAATTGGAATTACGCTAAACTTTTGACTCAAGTTTTCAACAACCGAGCATGCATAGTTATCTAGCTTGGCTCTGATTACTGCTAAGTGACAAAAGCTCGCATAATTTAACCCAGAAAACTTAAATTACTTTGTGGAAGAATAATTGGTGCCGAGCTAAAGCAAAATTGTGGTTATATGGATTTCAGATAAGTTTACTTGAGAAGATGAGTTTTAAAAAAATTAAGTATTTTAAAAAAGAATGTTTTCCAAATGATTCAAATTGACCAGGTGCAAGAAAAACATCAAAAAGTGAGAGTAGCAATCAAAAAAAGATAGCAAACTGTCCTCGAACCTCTCTTCTTGATAATCAAAGGACAGCCTAATGGGGATAACTAATGAAGAGGAACTTCGTATTCGAGGTTTAGTTTTTTCTTTTTTTTATTTTCCACGCAAAATCAGCTACCAGCAACAATCACCTGAGCGAGTTGAATAATATAACATAAAAACGCCATTTCAGTCGGGATATGAAGGACATTAATAAATCTCCAAATTTTTTTCTCGGTGTTGAAAAAAATGTGGTTTGAACTATTTGATTTTTCCTATCTCGGTTCTGAGTGGGTAGCGTACTATTTGTCTACTTTAAGACCTGTCTAGTCTTCTTTCGCCATGTTACCTATTAAAAGGTAGTAACGTAGAAAAAAACCTAATTCAATTAGCAGTGGCGTGCACAGAAATTTTTCTTTAGCATTGGCGTGCGCAGAAATTTTTCTTTAACAAAACTTTATAACGTTGACTAAATTGGTTTTCTAACCTCTTCCAAATCACAATTAAGACTTCATTTCGACCATACTTTCTGTGCTGCAGTCGAAGTTTGAAAAAAAAACAGGCCAAGAAACGTATTTTTAAACACTTTAAGGAAAATGATGCCAAAAATCGTTTTTTGACAGGTTCTTTTTTCTCAAAATTAAAAGATATTGGCGGTCAGATAGCCCAAAACAAACAGTGAAAGGAAGGACTCTTTGGGTCGGTAAGGGGTCGAATCATTGAAGAAGGGCGTCCACCTCTTCCCTCGCCCTCCCAAACCTATATCTGCTACTGATTCAACCCATGATTGTTTAATGATATAAATTTTTAGCAGACATAAATTTTTAAATGTTTTTCTAAAGGTGCCCAAAATAAATTTTTTGAACAAGAATTGCGTGCCAAAAAATTGCAATTTTTCCAATTTTGTCTTTTAAAACTTGTTCTTTGGTCAAAGAAGTTGCCCGCGACGCAGATATTCTTTCAAAACAAGATCTCTATAGTGTTTTGGGAGAGATCAGAAAACAAACAAAGTCGATTGAGGAAATCTCGAGAAAAAAAGTTAAAACTTGGAGCTAATTTTTCGGGACCTAACTTTTTCTGATAATTAAGAGTTTGAAAAACCGATGAATTACATTGTTAAATACCTCATTTTGAGTTTTTTAACCAGTTTCAAATGAATATGCCAAAACAAAAAAGTGTTGGTTAAAGTTTTGGCTGCAAAAACAGATCTACTTAGGACAAAGCAAGAAAAGTTCTTAACTTCTCATGAACTGGCCATTTTTCTATCCAAATAGCAATCAGATACAAATACATCTGCTAAACATCCACAAAAGTATTCCAGAACTTATGATGCGAAAATATAAGTTTTTTCTAGAGTTATATTTTGGTGTAGTATAGGCAAATATGAGTGTAAGCCTCTGTTTTTATTATTGTATACTATAGTTTTTGGTGCGGTCCAATTCGACTAAAGTAAAGTTGGATGGAAAAAAAAGAAAATTTAGATGAAAAATTTTTGGAAAAAAATTGAAAAAGATAAAAGAGATAGTATAGATAGAGAGGTATCAGATTTGGGCAGAGTCGCTTTATTTTAAAATCTCACCAATCAAATTTCATATTTTAGCACTATGATACGAACTTTGTTTTAACACTATTGCAAGTTTTACTGGATAGATACTTAAAAGGCGGCTTTTTTTCACTTGACGTTAATTTTTTTTAACGACTAGAGGTGGCCTTCACGTACTATTACCTACCAGTTTTCGATACAAAAAGCAAAGAAACAAAAAATGTGGATATAAAAAAGTAGTATTGAAGATGCGGAGGCCAATTCATATTGTACTAAAAACAAATCTTTTTTTTTTTCTGAAAAACCGCGCCAATATTTGCACGACATCTGCCAGGATTACGAAAAAAAGAGAGAAATTTTCTAAAATTGTTTGCTGTCGATAATTTTTCAAACAAAAATCCAAACCATTTTTTAAGGAATTTTTACAAAAATTAGAAACCGAAAACTTTTCCTCTGGAAAGAAAAGCAATTCCATTCATTTTATGTAACTTCGGATCGATCCACTTCCAAAAACTCCAAAAACTTATTTGACGCCAGAAGAGATTGGGAAAAGCGAATGAGAATCAAAATTTTGGGCTGCTCCAAGACTGCAGAAGTACTCGCTGAAAATTGTTACGTTATTTTCATTAGACGCAAGAGTTTTTTGTTACAAGAAAGTTTAAAACTCCAACAGACATATGAAAAACTTTTAAATTTAAAGTTTTTTTACCAAAAATTGTTGTTCAAAGTTTCTAGATTTGAAAAAATATGGTTTGCCCTCACTTTATATATTAATATCATTTATGCGCAAAAACTGCGAATTCGATATACTACTCCAAAAGTTACATTACGAGGCCAAACTGGGCAATTAATAAGCGCACAATTTGGTTGGTATTTTAGGTCTCTGGAATCCAGAGACACGTCGTTAAGCATGACAAAACTTTGACCGAACGATGAAAAACGAAAGATCAGAAGAAAATCAAACAGAGCTTCCTTGTTGGGGGTTCTGCTTAAAATTTACTACATACACAGCTTGAACTCTAAATGTTCCGGGTTGACCAAAAGTCGCTATCTTGGATATTTTCTTTAAAAAATGCAACTTCTTACAAAATTAGGCTCCAAGATTGTTACAAGATAGGGACTTTTCCATTTAAGAAAGTTGTAAGATGGTGAGTTTTGTTACAAGAAATTGGTCAGATAGGAACTTTTCCTACAAAAATTTTTCAAATAATTTTTTGTTCGTTTTTTGAAAATTTTTCTTGCAACCAGCTTCTTAGTTCACCGCTGTCGCAGAACGCAATAACGAAATTTCGTATACCAAATATCTCGTGTTGCCAGTTAATTTTATTCAACACTGTACTCGAGGTTGCCGTAAGTTTTGCAAGCGGTAAAAAATATTGTCTCACGCTCTCAACTATCAACCGTAGTTGTCATGGAAAACTTGATTGTATCTTGTTTCGGTTTTTTTTATATTATCGAAAATATAGTTCTTTGGTTGAGCAAAACGAGCACTTTTTCCGGCCCAAAAAAATCGAAACTCAACAAAATTACATCTGGAAGTCAAATTACGCAGAAATTCGGTCGCAAGTCAAAAAAGACCAAAAATTGGTCGAGAAAATAAAAGCATTAAGTTAAAAAATGCGATTTGTTAAAGCAATAAAGACCAAAAAAAGGCTCATAAAAATCTCATGTGTGTGGTGTGTTTTTAGGTCAGGAGCAGCTGTTCCAACTGATGCATGCGGCCTACCAAGTGCAGTGCAATGACCTGTTCGACCTCTGTTGTGAAGTGGTGGCTGATCAGCTCAAGGAACTGTCAGTCCAGCAGGCTAGTTATCTACTGTAGAGGTTCCTACCCACCGTCCGCTCATGTGTCGGTTGGAACCATCTGAAAGCAGCTTAGGAAAAATCAGAATTTATCCACTAAGAGTATGTAAGGAGTTTGCGGAAAGCTCTGAACTTTCCACGTTCCCGTCTATCTCGTGGATACAAAAATTCAAAAATGGATACAGAGTCTACAAAAATTCGGCTCACTCGCCTCACTACTTGGTTACAATAAAAAAATATTTAAAATAAGTCGCCGCGTAACATTCAAGAGCATTTTTCTGCCTTAAAAAACATAAGAAAAGTATGTATTTTCCCTTATGAGTTAGGACTGGAGTGTATAACTCATAGAGTAATTTCGGATAGGGTACACCGTCTGCTCGTCACGCTATCTTATTTTCGGCCGGATAGATTCGTGCAACTTCTTAGTCTAATACCGATCCTAATCTTACTCTTATACTATCTAGTCTCAGGTTGTTTAACTAGTCTCTGCTAGGCTCAATAGATCTAGGGTATACTGGTTTATTGCGGCTGCTGAAGTGCTCGGGAGAGTCCAACTAATTTCTAAGTTAAATTCAAATCTCTCTGGTGCTGAAATTACAAGTAACTTCAGCACTTACAAATAAGTGGGTTGTTAGTTAGATGGATCATGATTGGTTAATATTAAATACTTTACATTGGTAAAATATCTAATTTATCCAATCATAAAATGTAGTTTAGATCAGGTTCCACCCATCCGGGTTTTACAGAGTTTTTTAGAATAGTTCTTCTGCGATTCGAAGGATGGATGATGGACGTTGGTTTTTGGCGAACATCATTTTCTTCCGTTTCCTCTTTGTTAAAGAAGTTCCAGGAAGCTGGAGTTAGAGACATAAGACGTTGTGTCTTCTAGTGACAACGACTAAGTCTTTGCAACAAACTCAAATCTGATTTCAGAATGGTTGGCTATGTCAGGTTTTTCTGTTCTGCGTGGAGAACTTCTTTTGTGTCTGATCTAGTTTGGGAATGGCGTGGAGATTGTGCGTGGAGGGGATGCCTGGTTACTCGGATCTGTACGTATACTTGAACATCGAGGTGGTCATTGGTCTAGTTCAATGAAGTCCTTTTCTGCGAAGTCAAGTCGTACTCTAAATCCTTTGAGTTGTGATTGTGAGTGGCATATCGATTGTGGTTGGCCATTCTCTCTCGAGTGTAGTGGGGTCGTTTTGTCTTTAGATGTTCGTCCTTGGTGTTATATTCTGATCTATGTATTGCATAATGTAATTTACATTTTATAAAACATTTATTAGTTTAATATTTTTTAATTATGATTTTAGTTAGTTGTTTTCACAAAAGCTTTTTGTTTTAGTTCGGTTATTTTGAAGAGTTACTCACCCTTGAGTAGCTCTTATTAAAAATAGAGGTGTGGTCACAAAGCGTGGATGTAGCACGGTGGGTTAGGCCGGCTATAGAGCATGCTCAGGACGTCCTTCCTGGTGGGTTAGGCCAGGAGTGGGAGTATGATTTCATGCGGTTTTTATGAGGGGTCCTGTTATGTGACAACGTTTTATGTTGGGTTTGTTGTGTTTTTTCTTATGTCTTGTTGGTTATGTCCTTTTTCCAAAAAGCAAATTGTTCGTTGTATGGGTTTGTCTTTCGACTTTTTTGTGTTTTATTATTTCTTTCTTAGACTTTATAATAGTCTTCAAAAGAATAAATTATCCAGTTTTAAACTGGGTTAATCCGGTTTGGGTACCGTTGGTTTCCTTTTCTTAGTCATGCTGTTATTCTATGATTTGTGGTATTTAGTAAGCTGCGTTGGTTAGTTTTGTTTAGTATATGATTCCTTTCCAACCGGGTTAAAGGAAGGTTTGAAACATGTTATTATATGTTAGAGTTGTTGAGTGTGAAAACTTGAAACTGAAATTCATTATTTTAAACAATTCTTCGTGGGCGAGCTGTGCGAGTGTGGATAGAATTTCTGTGCGAATGAATGAGAATATCAAAAGGTTAGTACTGCATTTGCATTTTATTAATTTACTGCATAGAATTTGGAAATTTACTGCTGGTTATGGGGGAATTTTAAGTTACAAATTTTCATCATAATTAGATTTACTGCTTGTGGGGAAAATTTTAGAAATGAATTTACTGCATTGGTATTAAATTTATAAATTTATAAGTGTAAGAGATTAATAGAATTTTTGAAATCTGTTTGATGAAATTTGCGATTTTTATTTGTCTTTTGTGGTTTTTGTAGGTGATTGTCGGATGAAGGCTAAAAATCTAAAGAAAACATGGATAAAGTATGGTGAGTTTTTTAATATTTTAATTAGTTAGTAATATTCATTTAATTCATACTTACCTGTTAGTCGTCGGGGAAAAAACCGTGGGGGAAGATGTCGTGGATGAGATCGGAATTTGTTAGTAGTTTAGCTAAGATGCGGATGATATTTTTAGTCTGAAGCAGTGGCCAAAGCAATTGAAGTGCCTTAATAGTGGTTAGTTCTTCAGTGCCAACTGCAAACTCATAAGGTGTGTTTTGGATTAGATTATATAATTTGTGATTGAATTTAGTGTTGTGGATGAATTCTAAAATTGGGATTTCTATAGGTTGTACAAACTCGTGCGGGATAAGGAAGGGTCGGGATTCTTCGGCGTTGAAGGTCTTGGTGATGGGACAGAAGATGTACATTTGGGTTATGGGATCATAATTGCGAAGAATACCATGAAGGTTAGTATCTTTAATGCAATATGTGAAATTTAGGAAAAATGGTGAAGTGTATTTGGAATTAATGAATTGAAAACGATGGTGTGGTTGTCTAGAGGGTGTGTGTAGGTCAAAGTGATTTTGGATGAAGCGATAATAACTATATGTGTGGGTTTGTTTAGTGCGCAACATAATATCGTGTGAGCAGTGTAAATCTCTTTCGTGTGGTGCAAGGAAATGAAAGGTTAGTGAAAATATTTGGAAGCGTTCTTTAAAACTTTCGTATGCTTGTGTGTCTGTTAGTGCTTCTGAAATAGTGTGATCAAACTTTCGGTCGAAGATGTTTAGTGTAAATATATATGGTGTCTTGATGAAAAATTTCTCGGTAATTTGTGGATTAGCGAAGCGATCGTCGTCTAAGAATTGATCATGGTTAGCTCTGATGATGTTGTGATCATAGTATTCGAGTGTATATTCGTTAGCTCTAGGTGCAGTGTGTGTTTTTAGTGATTTTTTATATCCAACGTAAGTAAATTGTCTAGCGGTTAGTGGTGTAGTGAGTCGATATAGCATGTCCGTATTTCGCTCTATATCGATGTGAGTGTTAGATAAAGGTAAGCAAAGAGGGTTAGTAAAATGATAATATGAGGTCCAAGAGAGAGTGGGCATTAAAACGTATTCATCTACAAAGTTGCGTGTTTCGTTAGTGTCGTGGGGGGTGTTTAAGGTGTATTGTGGGAATGAGGGTAAGGTGATGGCTAAAAATTCTTTTGTGTTAGTATGCTTGGGGTGGTTGATGTATTCACGGGCTGTTCCTGGTTTTGCTGGGAAAGGATGGTTGGGGAACTTTCTTTTAAAAGTGCGGTAAGCTCTATTAGTGTTGAGTGAAGATTCAGTTGATGTGGATGATGGTGCTAATGATTCAGTATAATTTGAAGAGGGTGTAGGGGTAGGGGGGTTTGATGAATTTATTGTGGAGGAGATTTGGTTTATTGTTGGGGTATGGAGGTGGTAGGGTTGTTGTTGAAGGGTAATAAAATTATCTAGCTCTGGGGAGATTCGGGGGGTGTCTGGAGAATGAGATGATTGGTCAGAATGAAATGAGGAGTAGGTTGGGGTAACTTGGGAAGCATAAGAGGGTGTGGAAGTGATTGGGTCAGGGTTATTGGATAATTCGGGTTGAAAAGGGGGTTGAGAAAAATTAGAAGAGTTATGAAAATTATTGGATGGGGATGGTTCTGAGTCGGCAAATTCATCGGGGGTTTCAATATTCGGGTTATTGAGTTGTGAGATGGAATATAAAACTGAGATGTGTGAATTAGTGTCGGAATTCATGCCTGATGTTACATTACTAGATGGAAAATCGGGTGGCGGAAAAGCAAAAAGTGGTATTATTGGGATTGGAGAGGTAAGATTGGTTGGGTGGGAATTTGATCGGTGTAGTGATCCAAGTTGGCGGCTCATCGTGGGCTAAAAAAATGATTATTTTGAGACTGAAAAGCGGTGGTATGGGGTTGTTCAATAATTTGTTCATAAGTATTATGATCTTGTGACTGGTGTGTCATTATATGTTGGATGGGACTTTGTGATGTGGTGAGTCGAAAATTTGGATTATGTGTGATGGCTAAATTTCGAAAATTTCGTGGGACTAGGGATAGTGGATGGTTATTTGGTAGGGGTGGTAATTGTGGTGCCGTTGGCGTTATGTCTACATTGTTATGTTCTTCGTCGTATGTATTTTGTCGTGTTGCTATTTTTGTGTTATATTCTTTTATTTGTGCGTCTAAAAGAATTTTGTTTATAGATGTAGAAAAGATTCCAAAAAATCCTGCAAAGAGTATGCGTGCTACGCTTGCTTGTCTGTTTACTTGTGTGTGTATAGCACATGTGTTGTAGATTCCTTTTAAAAGTGAGAAAAGAAATCCAATAAAGTTAAACATTGCGTATAAAATAGTCAATTTTTCTAAGATGTAGTAGGGCCATCCTAGAAAATCGAGGATCTCATTTTTGAGTGTAACAAAGCTAAAAATGTTAATTGGTGATATATCTTGGGGACGGTATTTTTCACCGTTTAGATATATATAATCTTTAATGTCTTTAAAATATCCGCTATAGTCTTGCGTGTAGATATCGGCAAATCCTGCGGTTTCCGCAAGTTTGCGTAAATTTTGGTCTATTGATTGTCTTTGTATAGTGTCCATTTGTGTTAATAATTCTTGGAATTGTTGTGTTCTAATGTGATGTTGAATATCTGATTTTGAATAGATTCCTATTGATTTTAAGTCTATATTTGGGTTTCGAGCAATAGCGCGAATGCT